TTCCCTTCTATAACAGTCTGAAATTGTGAGGTTTTATTACATTTTTAGACCAAAATATCCCACTAATTTAAACATAAGAAAAGTCTGTATGCAGTTTTTTCACCTGGTAGGAGTATGCACTAGGCACCATGTCAAGGATTATGTTGATGCTTGAGTAAATTTAGCAATTTTTTCTATAAATTTCTTTTTATGTAGCATTTTACATTTGAAAATCTTTTGACAGCTTGAGAAAATATTCAAGAACTTATGAGTCAAACAGATATAGAAAATTAAGCTGGACTGACCTTCCTTCTTTCCTTCCTTCCCTCATTTCTGATACTTTATTCATCTCTTGTTGATTTTTAGATGCATTCTCTTCAGTGCTGCATTTTCATTCTTCTTGAAAGTTCTCTAGCATTTAAAATTACTGATCATTTCTTGCTTTTTGAAACCCTTCCTTTCCTTGTTTTCTCTGGAGCTATGTAAGTTGCAGTTGTCTTCAGACTCTGTCATTTTTGTTGGAGGTGGTTTAGTCGCTAAGTTGTGTCCAACTCTTTGCAACCCCATGGACCATAGCCTTCCAGGTTCCTCTGTTCCATGGGATTCTCCAAGCAAGAATACTGTTGTGGGTTGCCATTTCCTTCTCCAGGGGATCTTCCCGACCCAGGAATTGAGCCCAGGCGTCCTGCATTGTAGGCAGATTCTTTACTGATAAGCTACGAGGGAATGACTTGTAGATTCTGTCATTTTTGTTGAATAGTCCTCAATACCATTAAATACACCTGATGACTCAGCCCAAGACACTTATGCTCTGCCCATATTCTCCTCTTCAAGACTTTATCTACTTCAAGTCCTCCTGGAAGTCATCATCTCCAGCTTTGTACCTATAACTCTCTCTGCCAGGATGTTCCACTGCCACCTCACAGGCAATGTGCCTGGAATGGAATTGCTGTTTCACCTACTGACTCTTTGTGGGATGCCCCTCCTACTGTGGGAGGCATGGTTATTCCCACAGTTACTCAGGCTCAGAACCGCGAAGTCATCCTGGATTTCTCATTCTTTCTGTCCCTTCCTATCTAGCCAGCCATAGGCTAAGTTCCTCTTTGGTAATTTACAAATGACCCTTGCATCCTCTCCTTATTGCAGGTCCATATTGTCAGTTGTGTCCGACTCTTTGCAACCCTATAGACTGTAACTCGCCAGGCTCCTCTGTCCATGGGATTCTCCAGATAAAAATACTGGAGTGGGTTGCCATACCCTCCTCCAGGGGATCTTCCCGATCTGGGGATCTTTCTGATTCAGGGATCTTTCCAATCCAGGGATTGAGGCCGCATTTCTTATGTCTCCTGCATTGGCAGGCAGGTTCTTTACCCCTAGCACCTCCTGGGAAGCCCATTATTTCAACACCACTCATTGGCCATCAGTCTTGTGCCAAACAGTATGCCAAACACAGCAATACAAAGGTAGACATGGCATACTTCCTGACCTTGAGGAGTTCATGATCTTGTCCAGTCTGACCAATTAGAATTTAAAATACCAGAAGGCAAAAACTATGTGTTATTTCTTTTTGTATTTTCATTACTTATCAGCATCTTCTATGGAGTCCATACATCAATATATTTATTACTGTAACAATGATAACAAAAGACAACAATGAGAGTTTCTTGTTCCCATAATAAGAAAGCTAGCCAGGGTCCAGCAAAATTTTTCTCAATGTGTTTTTACATAATTCTATTAGAAAGTCAAATAAGGAAGTTACCATCTGTCCTTCTTTTGGGTTTCTAATATTATAGAAATTTCTTTTTAATCATAAAGCTATACATGCTCTAAAAATCTTTAAAGCCATGGTTATTCAGATTATTTTCTGGGATTGCACAAGAAGGCAAACCAACCCTTCGGGATCATTTGCAGAATTCATTTAACTTTTCACTAATAAATTCTGTAATGTGTGTCAGAAATTCTGACACACACTCTCATAAATACACATGTACAGATTACTATACAATAATCCAGAAAATTGATCACAAAGGCTGTGCTGAAGTTTCAGTCGTGCAATTAGTAGACCTGGCATAGAGTGAGGAGGGGTAACACTTTAGGTGCTTGTGTGCATGGGTGCTCAGTCCCTCAGTCATGTCTGACTCTGTGATTCTACGGACTGTAACCTGCCAGGCTCCTCTGTCCACGGGACCATCCTGGCAAGAATACTGGAGTGGGTTGCCATTTCCTCATCCAGGAGATCTTCCTCACCCAGGGGTCGAACTTGTGTCTCCTGCATCGCAGGCAGATTCTTTACCACTGAGCCACCTGGGAAGCCCTGCTTACTAACTGCCAAGTACTTTTTCAAAGAGATTATTTTGTATAATCTCCTTTAATCCTTAAAACAATTCTACTATGTAAGTACCATTAGAATCTCCATTTTATAGATGAGGAAGCTCAGATACAGCAAAGTTCATAAACTTGTTAAGTTAGTGAGTGAAAGAGCCTAGATTAGAAGCCAGGAACTTAACTCCAGACCCTTGTGTGCTTAATGATTAGACTATTGTTTCTCCCAGAGGAAATGGCAACCCACTCCAGTATTCTTGCCTGGAGAATCCTATGGACAGAGGAGCCTGGCGGGCTATGGGGTTGCAAGGGTCAGACACAACTTAGCGACTAAACTAACACCACCACCAGAGATATACAAATAATGGCTCAAAGTCCCCACCACACACAAAAAAAATTGTGGGAAAGGCACACACACACACAGGGAGTGGAACTAAATGGAAAATAAACTGTTTAAGATAATTATAGCCACTGTAACACAGGGCACTGGAAATATCAAAGGGTCTCCTGCCCCACTGGGACTAACTCCCTATCCCATGTTCTCTGTTGGGAAAAACAGAGGAGAAGAGCATAAGAGACAGGCTCTTCGTGAGCACACACAGCTGTCGCCACCAGACCATTTTGTTTCCTGGAAGGTTGCTCACTGCACATGGCCTCTGAGGGGCAGAAGATGCCACTATTCAGTAGTCCTGACAGCGACTCCAGGTCAGAATGGCTGGGGCTAAACCTAGAAGGCTGGCAGGCTTCAACCCCCACATGACTCATTTCTCTGTACACTAGAGGGATAGGTGGGGGTGAGACACAGCAGAAGAGAACAAGGCGATTCGTGGAGCTGGGCTGATACTGAGTTTTGGCTTCTGAGGCAAAGGCAGAGACAAACAAAACAACATGGAAAACATGTGGCAGAATGGGAGAGGAAGGGAACACCAGGAGACTCGGCGCCCGGACCAGACAGGGGCCAGGGGCAACTTTAAAATGCAGGCTTGCTGTCTGAGTTAGCATCTGCAAACCATGCCGGTATCTCCATTTTATATTGTAATACTCTATCATCTCATCCAAACACGCAGAGTGAAAGGTGGAAATTTTACTCCTTTCACAGAGAAAAGGGCTTCTAATAATAACAAAACCAAAATGACTTCTGAAGAAAACTGTAGATCTTTCTGATTCAAGGATGGTTGCATTTAAACAAATTTGTTTGACATTGCTAACACTGTTGGAAAGAAATAAATCAGAAAAAAAATTCAAGTTACTTTAAGACCTATGGGGTTTTGTGCAGCAAATCTTAAAGCACAGATCAGAATGGCTCTGGCCTAATCTTTATGAACAGATAAGGTTTTGAGGTTAAGGAAAATATGTGTTTGTGTCCTTGAATTTATAAAAATCAGTCCTAAAAATTAATCGACAAGGACAATCAGTGGAGAAAATATAGCACCACATCACAAATATTTTCTCAGATGATGGTTTTTGAAAAAGTATAGAAAAATTCATTTGAGTAGTTACTTCTCTGTTTATCACCATTATCTTTATCTACTTTTAACTTTCATCATTAAAAAGAAAATTAAGAATATTGACAGTTTTCCTTTTGGTAGTCTTAGCCTTAGGTAAAAATGGAAACGTAAATACATTAAAAATACACGTAGAGACTTTGCATACGCCTCTAGAAGGGAGTTTGCTGGCTAGCTCAGTTTTTGACAAAGAAAAATGGGCTGCGCTTGCTACTTGCACAAAGATGCACTGTTCACAGAACAAACCAAAAAATGGAGAATTTGTGTTTAAAAGAAATTAATATCTAACCTGATAATATACTTAGTATAAATCTTCTATTAACTGATAAAATGTGCAGCTTATTAGAATTTAAAAGCATAACTTGCCAATAAGAACTTAATACAGATACCTGGAAATTCTAACAGCAAGCCAGACACTCAACTTCATTTTTAGTACCCTATAATTAAATATATACTTCTGCTTTTTAAAAACTCAGTTTTATCAATGTGATTGTACAGTAAAGTTTCCAAAAGCAGTGAGGTAAAGTATTTGTGAAGTCGAGCCGCCTCTGTTCCGTGCACAAGGCTGCCATCTGGGCTTGTTTATTTGTGTTCCCAACTTTCTGGAACAGGGAGTTTCAGTTAGGGACCGGGTATCAAGCAAAGGAAGTGTCTTACAGAAGACGATAGTTTTTTCTTCTTTAGTGTATTTTCAAACTTCAGGTTTAGTTTGGTCAAAAATATCAAATGATTAGCACAATCACAACACTTCACACAGTTGGAAGCCTCAGAATTGTCTTAGCAAATATTCTTCCACATGATGCAAGTAACATTTCCTACATGCCACCTTCTTGTGCCTTTCAGATCTTTTTCAAAACATAAACTGTCATTAAGGCTATAGCTACGTGGCCGAGAAAGCAAGCATTTTTCATGTATCCTTCTACAAATAAGCATTTGATTTAAAAGTGAAAGAACTGTTTCCAAGTAGTTTTTTTGATTTTATAAAGTGCATATGAGCCAAATTTACAAAAAACAAAGCAAACAGAGCTGAAATCTTTCAGAATGTAATTAAGAAACAAAGCATTATTGTTAGATTGATGGAACAATCTAATTATGAAGCACCATTTAAAAAGCCACAAACCAACCCTTAAAAAAACTAGTGGTCCTTTATCTTTGAAATCTTTCATATAACAAATAAAATAGAAGCAAAAATACCTTGTAATGTAAAGTCCAGCAATACATATTCGTAAGCAAATTCTGTCTTTGTTTCCACTTGCGGTCTCTTCAGGGTAGAAAATATTTTTCCAGGGCTGCTATCATCAGGGTCTTCTAGCTTTCTAAGTCCGCACCCCATGGCAAAATCTGTAAGGAATTAAATTGCAGGATAGGGGAGGGAGACCAGCAAACTCTGTTGTTTAAGCTGCAAAAAGAAAGTTACAGACTCAACTGCTTGGATTTTTTTCTGCTAAAACATAGATACTCAAAAAGAAAACATCTGAGTCCAAAGAAAGGAGCTGAAGATTTTTTCTATCCATTTTTCTGTAAAGTCGCCGAACCCATGATGATTAAGCTACGGCTCTGGGAGGCTGGGCTTGATCTTAGTAGAAACATGCAAGCTGCTACAACTTAGCGGAGAATTTCCATGCCACGTCAATTTACAGCCAGCCCCCTACCAGAGTTCTGTCGCTCAGGGCACCAACAGTGCTTTGTCTATTCCAGTTGGCTGGATGATAAAGAAGGTGTCCAGAAACGGAAATAAGAAGGCAAAAGTGCAAATCAGATGGAAATACTTACAAGTAGAGGCTATATTCAGACATAGTGGCATGCAATTCTTTTTCTGTTTTCTCTTTTCCCTCTTTCCTGCGCCCACCCCCTCCTTCCTCCCTGCTACTACCAAGAAAGCAAAGGAGAGAGAGAGAGAGAATGAAAAAAATGGATTCTCAACGTGGTTGGAAACAAAAATCATTTCCAGAAAGGAAGTCAGGAAACTATTTCTGGAGTCTAGAAGGAAAAAGTTAAAGTTAAAAAAAAATTCCATTCTTAGTCTTTAGATAGCACTTTTGAGGATTTCTTTTCACATGAAGGTTTTTTATTTTTTTTGTCGGAAAAATCATATACTAAACTGCCACATATAAAATGTTTATATTAAACATAATAAAAAAAGTTAACTGCAAGAAGAAACATTAATGTGGATTATTAGCCTCACTAACATCTATTAAGTTTAAAATATCCTACTGTTAGAAGACTTATGATAGCAACTAACACTTCCATAGGTCCCAGAGTATCCTCAGTTAAAAAACAACTGACAACTTGATTCATTCAGCCTTACAAGTTGCTATTTACCTGAAGTCAAGAACAATTCATAATGGAACAATGTAATGAGTGTTACTGTATTTTACCATTTACATATCATACTGATGAGTATCACGTACTCATCAGAACTGTGAGCCCTGGAATCAGACCACCTGAGTTCAAATATGGCTTCTAATGCCTACTAGAGACGTGATCTTGGGCAAGTTACGGACCTCTTCAAGTTTCAATTTCCTCCCCTGTTAAATGGAGTTAATAATAGTACTTACCTCACAGGCTTGTTATGAAGTTTGAAAGAGATAATCTTATATCTTAACATTATTTTTGGCAAATAGCATAAAATAAATTTGTTACTGTGCTTTTACATTATAAAACAGGGCTGAGAATAGTAATAGAAAGGAAGTGATTCTGCCACCATTCCCATTATTTATAAAGCAAATCTTGATGAATTTCAGATTTTATAGAACACAAGCCTGAAAAGATTTTTCAGTTACATTGAAGAGTGCACATGAAAACTCTCAAAAAGGGATAGATTATTTAGTTTGTAGATCACTATGACCTCTTGTCTCTTCCTTCTGCCTTCTTTAAATAGTTTACTTCTCAGAAGTGTTTATTAACAGAGGAAAATTCCATAGTCTTTCATTCTCAAGGACAAGCACGGTTGGTCATAAGCAACTTCTGGGTAAACCTGGATAAAAAGATAGCAGATTCTGATCGAGTGTGACTGATCTGACTTCCATACCAGTCATTTTTCATGTTCTCTTTCGCTGTGAGCTCCAGACTGCCACAAATAGAGTATCTGAAGCTCACTAACTGCTATTGCTGTACTTGGTAAATTATTTATTAAATAATCATTGCATTATTAAGTATCTGCTATGTTCCAGGCACTAAATTAAATGCTGGCTGGGTACACAAGCTGACTAAATGTGGCCTCTGCCCTAAAGAAACTGAATTCTTAATGGGGAAGACAGACTTATAAACAGATAATTCCAATTTGATTTGGTAGCTGCTAAGATAGCAGGCATAGGATGCTATAGAAACCCTCGAAAGAGCCTGTAACTCAGCTTGGAGGGTATAATAGAGCTGTTTTGAAGGATGAATATGCATAAGATAGATAAACAGAGGTGGGGAGTATGTGCCAGGAAAAGGGAAAAGCATGAACCATACTATGGAATCATGAAACAGTATGGCATGAATTTGAAGGAATACAACACAGTTGAGAATTACTATAACATAAAATTTGAAAGAAGACTAAGCTGTAAGGGAGGCAAGAGTCAGTGTAATGGACTTTCTAAGTTGCACAAAGGGAATTTTGACTTTATTTTGTAGACAATAAAGGAAAATCACATAATCAAATGGAAAAATTAGAGGAGGAGTTTGAAATTAGCAAGTGACGTAAGTGTGTTTTTGGTAGGTTACTATGGTTGATTTGAGGAAGATGGTCTTAATAGTATCAAAATGGGGGGAGGCCAGTCATTCAGGAAAGTACTGCAGTAGTCCAGTTGAGAGTGGATGATTGAACAGATGAATGACTAAGATGCATCATTATGTCCTCAAAGAATTTCTATTATCTCCAGAAAAAGGAAATGCACTTCCTTTAGTTCATGATTGCATCACTTAAAACATTTTTCTCTCAAAAAGTCCAACAAAAGAAATTTTTGACTATTAATGATATTTCAAAACACATTTCCATGTCAATATGACACATATTCCTTCTATTTTAACAATTATATAGGACTTAGTTATATTAATATTATGCTTAATAAACAGCATTTTGGCTATTTTCAAAGTTTTATGGTGAAGAATTTTGTAAAGATTACTTTTTTCCCTACTTTGGATTAATCCCTAAATTCTTTGATTTTACTTCATAAATGGTCAAAGGAAACAGTTTACATACAAGGAAATCAGAAATAAGCCAAGAAAATGTATTCTAATGAGTAAATAATTCATTTACATTACTTACAGAAATATGTAGTTGGCTATAAACTGTTTAAGATATTAATGTTAGACTTTTTTTTCTTTTTATTGGTCTCTGCTGCATGGCATGTGGGATCTTAGTTCACTGACCAGGGATGGAAACTGCACCCCCTGCATTGGAAGCTTGGAGTCACTGGACCAACAGGGAAGTTTTAGCTTTTTTTTTTTCTTTAAAACTGTATTTTGGGCAGTAAGCTTTTGTTATCACACATATTTGCTCCATATCTCTTTAATGCTTGTACATTTTTAGACAAATATTTCTGGTTAAACAATGTCTTGCATCTCCAACTTGTACTTAAGAAAAATGTACATTTCTTCAATAATATATTTTTTCCATTTGAAAAAAAATGTGTTTTCCGGTTTTGTTATTTTGTTTTTTAAATAAACTTGATACTTTAGAATAATATTAGATTCACAGCAAAATTGAGTGGAAAGTACAGAAAGTTTCTATAAATCCTCTTATCCCCACTCACACACAACCTTCCACTAACACCCAGCACCATTGTGGCACTGTTATGGTGCATTTGTTATAATCAATCACACATCATTGATACATCATTATCATTCAGAGTCCTTAGATGACATTAGGGTTCATTCCTGGTGTTGCACCTTTTGACAAATAGGTACAGCAAATTTTTGACAAATATATATTGACATATATCCACCATTACAGTATCATACAGAATTGTTTTCACTGTCTTAAAAATCTGTGCTCTACCTATTCATCCCATCCTTATTTCTTGTTTAACTTTTGATGTATCTGCTAATTGTAATATAAAAGGTAAAATAGTCTGTTCTTTCCCCCCTCTGATATTCAACTGTCACAATCATATTTGTTTTCATGGATAATCTTTTGTCTGTCGTGTATCCCCAGGTTTGTTGTATATTGAGTAATTACATTAAGTAGGATACATTTCTGGAATGTTTTTTAACATTGGTCATTTTTTTCTATTGATTTATATTTGCTGCCAACTGTAGATTTCAGGGACAGTGTTCAGTTCTGTACTGTATAGGGGGTTTTCCCAAGTGCAGACTTTCATGTGGCCAGATATGATGAAGATGTATTATCAGTTCTTGTCTATGTTCCAGTATGGGCCCACTTAGTCCTTGAATGAATGAATGAGCTTTGTGAAACCATTCTCCATAATTTGTTGTTGTTCAGTTGCTAAGCTGTGTGTGACCCCATGGATTGCAGCATGCCAGGCTTCCCTGTCCTTCACTATCTCCTGGAATTTGCTCACACTCATGCCAATTGAGACAGTGATGCCATCCAACTATTTCAACCTCTGTCACCCCCTTCTCTTCCTGCCCTCAATCTTTCCCAGCATCAGGGTCTTTTCCAGTGAGTCACCTTCTCCACACTAGGTGGCCAAATATTGGAGCTACAGCTTGACCATCAGTCCTTCCAATGAAAATTCAGGGTGGATTTCCTTTAGGATGGACTGGTTGGATCTCCTTGCAGTCCAAGGGACTCTCAAGAGTCTTCTCCAGCACCACAGTTCAAAAGCGTTATTTCTTTGGCGCTCAGCTTTCTTTATAATTGGTGGCATATTATTCTCATGGTAACTACTCAAGTTTGGAACATGTGAGCTCACTGAAGTCTTAAAGCTTCTAAGAGACATGCATCATCCAACCCATTCTGTACAGAGAGAAGTTTTTGCATAATCATAAAATTTTAAAATTCAATCTATTTTATGTGATCCTGATCCAAAAAAGAGGACTTCCCTGGCGGCTCAGTGGTAAAGAATCCGCCTGCCAATGCAGGAGACTCAGGAGACTTGGATTTGATCCCTGGGTCAGGAAGATCCCCTGGAGGAGGAAATGGCAACTTACTCCAGTATTCTTGCCTGGGAAATCCATGGACAGAGGAGCCTGGTGGGCTACAGTCCATAGGGGTCACAAAGGGTTGAAAGTGACTCTGCATGCAAGCAACGCAAAAAACCCTCAAAACAACCAGTTTTATGAAATGCTATTTAGTAAGGCACCATGTGGACACAAAGATCAAGAAGCCAGTTTATGTTCTCCAGAATTCACAACCTAGCAGACCAACACTGAGTTTTAACTGTTTAATGTAAGGTTAGATTCAAAGTGTAGTCCAATTTCCTATGTAATTGGTGACTTATTAAAAGCGCT